CCGGTCCCCGGTCCGGTACGGGGGCAACACTGAGGGTTGCGATCCGTTGCCGGACACGGAAAAAAACAAAAAACAAAAAAAAAAAAAAAAAAAAAAAAGAAATCTTACATCAAGCATGAGGTCATAAAATATGTATCCCTGTTTTCCCTTGTGGCAGCTGGAACAATTTGCAGTTATGGGTCCAGAACGCCTCTGTGCCATAGGCCTAGGAAACCCAAATCTATAATATGACATCAAATACTGTACAAGAAGAACCAATCTAAGTCTCTTCGGCTCTCATGCTTCAAGTGGGTGATGAGGGACCTGAGTTTTAGGGGTGGAAGTTTTCATCCTTAGAGATACCTTTAAGTCTGACTTTAGGACTACAAAAACCCAGTCCCAAGTGTTCTTGACAGGTTAGCATATCTGTAACTTGATCTAGCCAGCTTTAAGTGAGACATCTTTAAGTTGGAGAGCATATTTATTTGGGTCAAAACTGACCAGAGACTGATGGGAGTCAGAACCTCCTCTTTGATCTCTTACATAAAGAGGAAGGTAGCCCCCACTGCATACCCGTCACAGCATGCGGGTAAAACCATGCTGCTTTCACTTGTTTCCAATGAATTCATGTTTTAAAAAAGCAAAAGAAAGGCTCTGTCAGCATTCTTTGTGACCATGCAGTTATATCATAACATTACTTGAACCCTAAGGAAAGACCACTATATGGTCAGGATCCGACCATTTTGATTGTGATATTAGTAAAAAAGAAAAAGAAAAAGTCCTGTAGATATCTCTTCCTCAGAGACTGAATGTTTAAGAAGCCAGAAAACCTGGTCTAAAACCTTTAAATTGTAATGATAAATCTATTGGCTTGGGTCAGATGAGAGTGACATTTGAGTTTTCTATACATTTTCTCTTATTACTTTAAACTTCACTAGATTTAAAAATACAAAAGTAATATGTGCTGTTTGCAATAAGTTAAACAGTAGAGAGATCTATAGAGAAAAATAGACATCCCCTTCCATCCCCAAAGCCATCCGTTTTAGGCAACCAATGACAAAAGAGTTTGGTGTGTGTCTGTCCACTTCATTCTCTGTGCTTACTTAAACACATACAAAGACATGTATGTCATGTAGAAATGTTGCATGTTCACACTGCATATGTCACTCTGCAGTTTGCTTTTTTCACTTAACACATTATGCATATCTCTGCAAGTTTTTTTCATATAGATCTCACTCATTTTTTTTCTCTTAAAAGATGACTGGTAAGGGGATCTCAACCTTTGGCTTGGTGTTGTCAGCACCACATTCAGCCAGTGAGCACACCGGCCATCCCTATATAGGATCCGAACCCGCGGCCTCGGCGCTACCAGTGCCACACTCTCCTGAGTGAGCCACGGGGCCAGCCCCTTACTCATTACTTTTAATCATAGTATAATATTATAAAAGAATTAACCTTTTCCCTATTGATGGATGTTCAGGTCATTTCCTTTTCTTTCTTTCTTTTTTTTTTTAACACTACAAATGCTGCAATAAATATTATTGAACATATAAATCTGTACTGGTGCATTTATTTTTGTAGGACAAAATTATAGGGATCTCAGTGTCAAAGTGTATGTGATTTGCACTATTAATAGTTTCTTTCCCAAAAGCTTGCATCAATTTATGCTTCCACCCCATTCCTCAAATCCTTGCCTGCCCTGTATTTTAGCAATCTTTTTTTTTTTTTTTTTTTTTTTTTTTTTTTTTTTTTTTT